TGGCGCGAGGTCGCCGGCGATCTTGGTCTGCCAGCAATTGCTTAACTGCTGTAGCCTGTACGGCGGGGTCTGGAGGTGGATGGCGCTGTCCCTCCGTCTCGTCCCCTGTCTCGTCCCCTCTCTCCTCTCTCGTTCCGTCTCGTCCCGTCTCTCCCGTCTCGTTTCCTCTGACCTGTTGTTGGGCCCACTGCCACTGCATGCATCGCTTTTCGGCGATAGTGGGCCGCAATGATTGGCGGGGCGGTCTAGTCTAAACCAAACCAAGTTAAAAAAGCGGGCGGCCCTAGCTGTGGGGGGGTGGCGAGAACAGTTGGCCAGCGGCCCCGGTCCGCCTTTACCCGCGAGGAACGCAGACTCGTCGTTGTCTATCGTTGGTGGCCCCTTTCCCCGGCCGCCGCGACATACAACTAGCATCTCCCATTGGCGCCGAGGTTAACTCTTACCAAGGCGGCCAGAATAACGAAAAATGGCAGATTGGCGTGTAAAAGAACACCGACGCGACCGGTGATTGGGTGCACTCGGTCGGCTGCACGCTAGGATTTGCACGCCGGCCACGAGTCCGCATTGCCAAACGCGGGCCGCATGCCGGGCTGCACGGACAGGTCGGCCGCACATGCACCAACCGCTGTCTGGCTAGGCGCCAAATAAAGGACGCAGTGCAAATGCCAACAACGTCGATGCACCGCTATCGCCGGCTATATACATTGTGCGAGCAGGCCCGGAGGAGGGGCCAGGGTCAAGACAGGCAATGAGGTCACGTGACTACCTGATAAAAAGATAAAAGGTGATCTGTTTCGCTGTCCGCAGATCAGAAACAAGACCCTCGGGGTAGTTGGCCAGACTTCGGGTATAAGAGTAGAGGGTCCTCCCAGTCCTCCCAGTTGTACAGGTTCCAGGGATCAGAATTCCTAGTGCGGTGGATCCAAGATACATCTTCTCCCTTAGAAAATCACGCCAAACTGATGTACCAAATGGATCCACCGCACTAGGAATTCTGATCCCTGGAACCTGTAGTTAGCTTTGGCAGATGCGGGGCATCAATCAATCTAAGTTAGCGCCCCTGAGGCGCGCCAGCTTAGCATCCCGGCCAATCAGACGGAAAGAGTGGGTCCCTCAAGGTAGACGACGTGGCAGGTGGCCTGGCCCACCGAGATTGGACCATAATAAGCATGCTTGGCAAGGTTCACCCCACAGTTGATGTTTTGCCCCACGTTCTACCATGTGGTTGGACCCAGAAAGGAACCGGGACACGCGGCAGTGACCGGTCCTGCCAGCGACGTGTCTCTCAACCCTGCCCTTCCCTCCGACCGCCCCCACACCTGCCCTGACCCGCGCCCTGGGCCCCACCTGGCCACCCTGGTAGGAGCCATTGGTCCAATCCACTGCCGGTCCTGGTTCGCGCTACTTCCAGCGCCTACCAAGCCACGCCAGCGGAAGGTACCCCTCTTGTAGGTTCCCAGCCGGCGCCAGTGGGCCCACGGCTGCTCGCCATTGGTACCTCCGCTATGGCCTTCGAGGGCCACATCTCCTGGGCCATCCAAAGCCAGGAGCAGCCGGCCTTCGGTTCTTGCAGAGCTGCCTTATCATCCTTCCGCCAAAATGGCTTATCTATGCATCGCTCTTTTGGACAATTGACGGTTCCAGATTGCGCCGATTCCTTTTTGGGGTGATGGTGTACTTGGACGGTGTGCGGCACAGCCCAAAACGGAAATTGGGGCTTCTCAGCTTGCGTGACACCTACCTTATTTCGACATCGAGTGGGTCATTTCTCGACAATTTTTACCCGACCAATCACCACCACAAAAAAAATCGGCCTTTGAGTAGAATGATGGAGAAAATTCAGTTGATCCTAAAGCCAGCTCGGCTTCCATAGCGCGTTTCTCCATGCTTTTTGACCGACGTGTTGGCAGGCAAATGTAAATTTGGTGGGGCCGTTCTACAGCAGGGGTTGTTTGTGTAGGAAGTTGTTGTTGCCATCCTGGCAGAGGCGCATCAAAGATTCTCACATCTTTCGGAAGACAGGACACAGACATACCCATTATCAAACCTTTGGACTTCGTAGAAGAAACAAGGAAAAGAAGAGCGCCCCGAACAACAGACTAGTCGGCATTTGGGGCTGTATTTGACAGCAAGGGAGCCTTTTCAGGCTCTTTCAAGCCACCTGCCATTCGGCGTCGGGGTGGGTCCATGATCTCCCGTGTAATTAGTGGATGAGTGCCGACTCCTTAGGGAGGGTTGTTTAGGATGGCACTGCGCTGGGAGTACAGCGTCAAACGCAGGTTGTCGTTATCATCACCATCCTTGCGGCTGCCCCACATGGTCTGTAGAACGAAAAGAGTTAGCGGCTTGTTTTGTTGCGCGAATGATTTGTGGGCTGAAAAGGCTGGCTCTTTCAGCAAGAAAAATATAGCTTACCATGTTCAGAGTAAATAGGGCGTATAGCTTAATAAAACCATGTAGGTAGCCGAAGACGATGGATAGCGGCAGGAACACAATGTCGGCGGGGTTCTTCCTAAACAGGCCCACAAGCTTGACAACCTTGGTGAAGGCAAAGAAGACGAGCATAGCGCCGAACGCACAGCGCCGGCTCACAACATCCCAGTCGGCGGTGCCCCACCACAGCGAGGCCAGGATCAGCGGGTCGAAAACGAAGGCCAGCGACGTGAAGGTGGCGATGTGAAGCGCGTAGGTCGACCAGGGCTGCTGTCTGTCGTTTGGATTGCGGGATTGGTCAGATGGGAATTCAAGACAAGGCTGGTGCGTGTGGGCGGCGCCTGTGTGCTCGGTTGCTGGGGTCCTGGTGCGGTGGGTGTGGGGGCGACTGAGAGGTGGTGGTGGATTTGGGAGGTCTGGTGCAGTGGAATTGGGTGGGGGGGAAGGCCTGAGGATTGAAGACAGGAAAAAGAAAAGGAAAAAAAAGAAACTCACCTCCAGACATGGCGCTCCATAACTAGG